GAAGGTCTTAAGATTTTTGCCGCAGAAATTTGAATTTGGGCCTATTCTCCAGAAATGCTCCTGCTACATTACAGACCACTCTAAAGGTACCAGGAGAATTGCTCAGTGAAGGAGAGGTGATCTAAGCCATTTATAAGGCTGTACAACGTAAGATAAAAGAGTTATGAGTGTTTGAAAATCATAAAAACGGCCGCCATCTTGAAAAATCAACCTCAATCCTACATATAGGCTACCGCCTATATAATTATATCAAGATGAGAAATTAGCTGAATTCAGTATTTTATGTAAAAAGTATTTATAATACAAAAAGGAAAACTTATTGCTAATTTAGGTTAGGATTAGTTAGAGTAGGCAATTTACAATGAAAGAGAAACAAATAGGTGTAACAAACAACAATAACAAAAATATAATCAACAACAACACTTTTATGGCATAATAAATAAAAACCCCAAGAGGAAAAACAAAATTAATGATCATGGAAAGGCTAACAAAAGTTATTAATAAGAGGTCTCAAAAACCAAATCCAACGAAGATCCGTGATAGTTCACCATTATGATAAAAATAACCTTATGAGATCTCCATGCATCAACATAAGCATAAGCTTTTGATGAAACTGAACATGCATGTGTTACTAACTCTTTTTATAATAAAAATATAAAAATTTAATGCTCATTTGCCAAATTAAGTAAAATTTGTTTAATAATACACACGTGATTTTTAAGAATTAAGTGTAATACTAAAATTAAGGATTTTTGCTATATTCTTCTTCTTGATTTATGTATTTGGTATAATGATCATCAGCAATTTGATGAATGTTAACTTCATTCTCTCTTACTCTATTCTTGTATTGTTTAGCCAGTATTATAAACACTACCAGGACCAGTAAAACTAGAATACTCCTTGTCATATAGTAGTAATAACTTGGACAGATAAACTCATTTTGACATCCAAAAGGATACTTCAGACTGATATTCAATGCATATCCAAACCCAATTGAAGCTAGCCACATTCCAACCATTACTCCTCTCATGTGTACTGGAGACTGAGCTACTGTAAACTCAAGTGTGGCAGGAAGAATGAAAGCAAATGCAAATCCTTTTAATATTTGAGGGAGAAATAATAACTTGTTGACATAAAGTGTGTGACATGTAGAAGAGACATGAGCTGGAAAGAAATAGAAAATCACACTGTTTGATATCATTGCTGTAAGTCCACAAGCAATTCCAATAGGCACTCTACCAAGGATTCTATGATTTAGTTTTATAAAGCAGGCTCTAAAGATGAATAAATAGATCAAAAGAATGAGTGCTGATGTCAGATACGTAACAAATCCAGTAGATAATACACAGTTCAGAAATGGTACATTACTTTCACAGATGTTTAATCTGGACATGATCCAGTGATACACTTCATCAGTTAGAGAGTACCCAACTACAGCTATTAATAACGGTAAGACACGAAATACTGTCTTTACATCTTCTACCTCTTC